CACTTGGTTTCAGATATTACTGTTGCAAACTAAACACACAGAAATAAAGCCCAAACCTGGGGCTGCACCTTATTCTTGTGGTTAACTCCAGGATGAAGGAATTTTGGAGCTTTAGCACCCAGAAATCTTGTTTGGAATTAATAATAACTCCCAGCATGGTTCTGGGGGATCAAGGAGTACAATACTCTGTTCCTGTGGGAAGATGAGCCATGGGAAATGGGAAAAAGGCAGCCAAAAGGGGGATGAGGGAGAAATGTGGGTCAGAAAGACCAAAAGCACAGCACTGCCTTTGTTTAAGGGCAGCGAAGACCAAGCACCAAGAGCTGATCCCACCAGTGCTGTTCCTTTATCCAGACAGACATTTTGGGCAGCAGGACCATCTCCAGGGCACAGCCTAAAAAATAACACCCCCCACAGTCCCCTCAGCCATGGCCATTCCACCCAGGAACCAGGGATCACACCCACTGGGGCCAGTTCTTCCTCATGGTAAGATGAGGTAGAGAATAAAAAAAAATCCCTGTATCCAGAACTGTGATAAGCACACCTTGAAATCCAGATAATTACGTGTACAAAGGTTTCTAATAAAACCAAACTGATACCTGGAATATTTCTCAGCAGTCATTTCCCATGGAGTTGTTGTTTACATCAGGTAGTTAAAATAGGATTTCCATGGAGAAAAAAGAAGAGAATGGTGGGCTGGCATTATAAAATCCTGTACCCAGACTAAGGGTACAAACCTGGGAAACCTGTGCAGCAAGTTACATTTTGTAGGCTGTGATAAGCTTATCACCTGTGCTTTTCCAAGTGGGTTTGGGGGGGGATTTTGGGGGGTTTTTACTTGTTTTGGGGGTGTGATGTTTTTCTCTGGTGTTTTTTCTGCATTTTGTTTTTTTAAGTGAACTCGTCAGACACAAGTTCTGCTTTGCCACCCACTGCAAGTGGTTGTATTATTTCCCAATAACAAGGAAGAAAAGAAAAAGCAGCCATACAAGTAATATAGCACCTTTTAGAATGAGAGGTTTTCAGTTGTCTATCAGATCCACCCACAAAAATCAGGATTACTCAATTATTTGCTTACTGGTATTTCAATCGTGTTAAAGTTTAGCAAGTTGTAATTCTGACCAAAACTCCAAGAGGTGCCCTCCATGTAAACACAGGGTACTTCTGCTTCATTAGGAGTGTCAGATTTCATCTCCAGGATGAAATTCCATCTAAAGTAGTATTTAATTTGACAAGTTTCCTAATCATATTGATCCCAGGTATACACTGCTAATGAGTAAGAGGAACAGTCTCCTGCAGAGACAGTTATTGGAGCAGCCAACCAGACCAGCTGGATGCAGCAGGTCACAATCTCATACATTTATAGGGTGGATTTTGGAATAAAGCATAGACAACCATATTCCTGAAAGTGGCAGTAACAACAAAACTGGCTGGAAAAGAGAAAGGGGAGTGACATTCCTGCTTGTCAAACTTTAATTTAATGTGCAGTTGTTTAAACCACATTGAGTTTCTGCGTCTCCCTTGCTTTAAGTGACCGAAACAGGTTGTGACAAATACAGGGGCAATTATTCTCTCTCTGTTTGGTTACAGCTAAGACCATTAGCAAAACCTTCTCTTTAGTGTTTTATTTTACTGCTGTTCTGCTGAAATCACCCATTTGAAAAGGAGCAGCAGCCCCACCACACACCCAGAGGGAGTTGGCTGCTCCATCCCTGCCCGATCTATAAACAGGAGGGGAACCAACATACTTGAAAACCTCAGACAGTTTCCTCAGGCTCGGGAATCGTGACTTGTTCTACCAGATCAAATTTCACCAAATCCATGAGTGTCTCGCTTTGCTCAGAGCTGGTTTTAGACTGGGGAGCAGCAGGGGAGGCAGAGGGAGGGAGGGAGGGAAGAGCAGGTCACGGTTGTTCCCTCGCAGCCGCGTCAACACGTGACGGCGCAAGGCAAACAGCTGAGGGCTTCCTGCTCCCCCAGCAGCATTTTTGAGAGATATTAAACTGACCTCATATTATTTAATAAGTTTATTTGTTCTAGAAGTCACATCATTAAGCAGCAAACACTTAAAAGTAATTCTTACTTCCCTGGTCATCCATTCGCACGCCACAGCGGCATCAGATTATGAACATTAGGGGTCTTGTGAAAATTAAGATGTCTGATGAAATGGACTTTTTTTTTTTTAATATGACCTGATACAAGGAGAAAAAAAATAGAGCAATGGCCAGGAAGGCAGAGCTGCTGGAGGGTCTGTTATCACAGGCAAACACCTCTCAGGAATCCCAGCCCCACGGCTGCTGTGCCCCCCCACAGACACGGACAGCGCAGCACGACCGACTGCTATTGTTGGGAGAGCAGGGAACAGAAAACCTCCCGTTCTGGAAACACATGCTTTCAAACAGAACTAGGAAAAATCCAGATGGGATCAGCTTCAAATGAAAGAAACAGCTCTATTTGCACATCCTTCAGAGAGACAGGCAGGGACAGAGCAGGGCTCAGGTCCCACAGCCCCGGGAAGTCACCTCCACCACCGAGAGCTCCGAGCGCTCCCCTGGCACTCCAAGTCTTTGAGACTGAAGATTGCCAGCAAGAACAACCAACCTGACTGAAATCTGGAGCTGTAAAACACAGGGAACAAGTCTCTCCAGTGGCTGGCCAAGCCCCAAAGTGCAGGGTTGGATAAACTCAGATCCAAAGCATGTTGGTAGCAAACTTCACATCCCCAGGACTCTGAAGGCCTTCAAATTACACAGGCACGGGAATCCCTTCACGGGGTTTCTGAATGTTAATGCAAAGAACAGCCCCAAATACAGCAAAGCATAGAATATGGGATCAAAGAGAACTAGAGCTTCAAAACTGAGATGTGCATCCCCACTCCTGCACACAGGAGTGGCTTTGGGGAGGGGCTGCTGGGAGTTTAGTTTGGTTTTTAATGAAGTCAGCCACATCTACAAAAAAAAAAGATACATTTCCTATAGGTCTGGCTGAATAAGTGGATCCTAAGGAACGAAAACTATGTAAAAGTTGTATTCAGGTTTAGTTTTTGTTAGTCCTAGACCAGCTGGCTGGTAAGGAACACCCCAGGTGCAACAGTCAGAGCATTTTCCAGGCCGGCTCAAGTCCCTTCATGTTGAGTTTGCTGCAGTGTCACCGTTGACTTTTGATAAGAGAGAAATGTTCCTTTGGACTAGAACACTGTTCCAATTTATACAAGAAACCAAAATCCACTCCAACCATCCCTCTTGACATTTCCTCCTCCCTCAGGGAGTGCCAGACTTTGCAGCTACAGAGGTGGCACCACAAAGCACCTACTGCAAGATTTGGGTTTCTCCCCCAGGAGATACCTCTGAAGAGCCCAACTTTGTAGCTTATCCAAATTCTAGATATTCCTAGAAGGGATAAGCCAAATATGCCATGAGTGTTCCCATCTGTTAACCATTCCCCTCACTTCATTTCCTAAGGCCAGTGCTCAGAACATCACATGGCCTGGAGCTACCTGGTAGGAAATACTAAAATTTCCCCCCCAATAAAATCTTTTACACAGACCTGTCCAATCTTTTTACATGTTTTCCCAGCAGTTCTGGGCTACACATGATGAAGGTGTGTGGGTAGGGAAACAATTCCTTATTTTCATCAAGCAGGTTGACCTTCTGACCTTCTTTCAAAAAGAATCAGTCTCCAAATTAAACAAATGCTGCTATTTTATTTTTAAAAGCTTTCAGCAGCTTTTGCAGCTTTATAGAGTCACTGTAAGAGATGCCACAACATAACTAATGCTAGTTTCAAATGGCACTTTGGTAAGCCAGCTCCTCAAAGGAGGAAAGCCCAGACTGTGCCAAGACAGTACTGGCTGAAATAGTTAAAAGTAAACTGTTTATTATTGATTTATAGCAACAACACAGAGAAAAAATGGATGGACAAGGACACCCCAGAGAGGAAACATTTGCCCTGACCAGGGTGGAGAAAGAGATGCTTAGAACTAGAGGACCAGTTTATACATAAATTAAAAGCAGCAGTTCACAACTACTAATAGAAACACACACAAACATGTGCTTCTGCTTCTTTTGCTCCAAAGCAGCTCCTAAATTTCTTTCAAGTTTAAATTTATTGCAGAAGATGCCAACAATGGCCAACTCCACACCCAAACAGCAAAGCCACTGATCTCCAAATTTCCTGCATGCAAGATTTAACACATACACAGACACACACACACACACAAAAGCCACACAAAAAACCCATCATCTAAGCTTTAAATTACTTTGGATTTTAAAAGCTGATTTGGGAACAGCGATTAAACTTGTTCCAGCTAACCTAGTTTTTATTCATTTCATTATTTATTGCTAGGCAACATAGACCGTGTCAAACCACGTTAGAGCCAGGAGGAGAAGTCCTTCCAGTTTAGATCAGGAATTCTCTCCTTGCCCTGCTCCCCTCGGTGTGGAGGCCACATGGATCCTTTTAACACCAGTGCTCCCAGACACCACCTTCCTTCTGGCCAGGAGCTGACATTCCAAACTCTCCCCTCAACATCTCCCATAAGATGCAGATTATCCAGAGCTCATGTGGAACCTGTAAAGAGCTCTCTACCATGAGTTTAGTGTTTACAAGCAGAATTAGTCCCAGATACTGGTAAGAATCTCTTCATAGAGGTATCTTTTTCTTCCTTTCTAGAAGGCTCTACCTTCTTTTCCAACTTATCCAATCTACCTTCTTTTCCAATCTTATCCATGGTCTGTACATGAACACCAGTACAGAAGAGATTGCCTACTACACTCAGCAATACTTCCTCTGTCATAAGAAAGCCCTGAAGAACTCCAAAAAGGCAGAAAAAATGAGGAAGGGCAGAGATCCAGGCTCACGAACAAATCATAGAATTCTCTCGATTAAACCTTTCTTCCAGCACGAAGCTTGAGCCACCCCTAACAAAGCAAAACAAAACATCCTGATAAAAGCAAAATAAAGCCAATAAAACCCTCATAAAGCAAAATAAGCCATCCTACCTCTTGTTTATGGGTTTCTCATCCTTCTCATAAGGCTTCACGAACCACTTGCCGATGCGCACGAAGTTCCTGTTCATCAGACACCTCTCCAGCAGGTTGTGAACGGCCTTGAACAGCAGAGTGCGGCACTCATAGGACAGCCCGTTCTCCCAAACACCATCTTCCTCTTCTGCCAGGCCAAGAAAAAACAGAAATTAGCATTAAATTCCACCTTACTACTTCATCCAGGTATCACAATATCCTTCCAGGGCGCTCGCGGCGTAACACGCAACCAAAAAACACCTGTAAATGTTCAGATAATTCTATTTACTTTATAAGACTAAAAGCCACCAGTTATAAAAATATCTCGTCCCCCACAAGAAAAAAAAAGAGTCAACAGTTATTTGTGCACAAAAGGAAACAACCTGCACCTTACACACTTCAGCCTCTAAGAACTCTGTGCTGCTCTGGCTGCAAGGTGGCTCGGTCTGGGGAGTTTGGGTTACTTATCCTGCACAGTTACTTGATAATTATGCTTCAAAATGAATATCCCAAAGCCAAACTTTTAATATTATCCTGGTGTCTTTGAGTAGCATTGACTGAGGAAAAGCCAGGCACGAGTGTCCTTGATAACTGACCCTCAACACTCAGCTTGCTGGAGATAATGAAAAAGAAACACTCAGATTCAGAAAATTGGTAAGGGCAACCTGATTCTCCACAGAAGACTCAAAATTGCAATTTTTCTTCTTAATTTAACCTAAAAAATGAAGATATTTAAGCAGGTGAGTTCTGCTTTCTGATGTATACATAGAAGAGAAGATAAAAAGCAGTGAACAGCAGGACAAAGCCCAGCTCCTCCTGATGGGATTCTGGAGTGAAACACTGACATCTTGTGTGTCCCACAAATCAACCACAGTCATGGAATCCAACCTACACAAGCCCAGTCCATTTGCCAGATTGAAAAGCAAGATTCATTACAAGGAACTGCAACCTCTTCCTCCCCTCTGGCTCCTCAGCAGGGTTTGAGGGCCCTCAAAGCACATGCACAGCCCAGAGAGCTGCCCTGGCACCACAATTCCATCCCCCAGGTAAAATGAGGAGCATCTGGAAGTTCCTGTGGTGTCTCCCCATGTCCATGTGACACCATTCATTCCCAGCAACTCTAACAAGGAGGATAACATAATAAAACTTGAGATCCTGCCCTTAAATCAGGGCAATCAGGTCTTATCTTTATGGCCATAACTCCTCGTGTCTCGTGTTTTACACCTATCCCTCAGGATCTGCTACTGCTCTCCTTGGAGTGGCTCTTCCAATGCCATTCCAAAGCTTTTACACCCCAGGTAGCAGCAGAGACAAAGGAGTTTGTCTGACAGAGATAAGATGTATTTGTACTTCAGTCTCTGGATAGTTATGGAATAATTGAGGTTCAAGGGGACCTGTGGAGGTCACTGCTCCAACCTCCTGGCAGAGCTCAACGTGAGACCAGCTCATCCTCACATTCCCTGTCCCTCTTGCCTTCCCTGCCACCTCCAGGAACTTGAGTTCACCTTTGCTTCAGCACAACAAGGATTTGGATTCCAACAGCTTTCCACTGGTTTGCCCCGTGGTCAGAAAACCTCAGCAACACATAGCCAAGCCCTTGCATTTTAAATCCCCCTTGGAAATAAGCCCCTTCACCTTTCTCTGGAAGCCACTTACAAGCTTAAAAGGTTGCAATATTATTAACTAAAGTCTCAATATCCCTAAATTAGAGAGCATCTAGAAAACCAGACACCCAAGAGTTTTATTTAGGAAATAACCTTACACATTAGTACAATAAACAATATTTAAGACAGGGATGAGAGAGAAGGGAATTTCAAGATACTTTTGGCCATGTTTGTGTATTCCTGATTCCACACAAGTCCATTCCCACTCAAGACCAGTATTGTGAGTAAAAGAAAATTACCCCAAGTAGCCTTTTCTGAGGGACAGAATAAGAGTAAACAGACCTGCCCCATCATTTATAAAAGAGGAGCTGTGCATCATTATAGATGAATCACTACATGAAATGATTTTCTGGTAAAGACAAGGAAAAACAAGGAGGAGCATTTCCCACAGCCCCACCACTCCCTTCCAGGCCAGAGCTCAGCAAAAACTTGGGTTTAAGAACAGTAAAGCTCCAAGATAATCCAGTAAGTCAGTAAAGAAAGACGGTAGGAGACACTTGTAACAAAGAGCAACAGCAGCCCAAAGTCCAAGGGTATAAAGTGCCCGTGCCAAGAGCAGAGGTTGTGCCCCAGCTGTGGCAGATGCCCGGGCACAGCCCTGTCCCGTGGGCAGCACTGCTGGGCCAGCCTGGTGCCAAACAAGGAGCAAACATTAACTACAGAGCTCAGGGATGTTGGACTTTACCTGCACAATCAACCCCAGACCATTTCAAAGGTTAAATGCTCAGTTTGGAAAGGGCTCCTGTGCTCTAAAAGACTCATTCGAAGCCCATCCATGACCCACTGGAAGAGAGAGTGGGAAGAGCTGTTTCCAGCTCTCTGCCTGATTTTGGTTTGGCACAACAGGGTATCAGTGAGAGGGGAGGTGCTGAAAGCACAGAGATACTGAAGAAGTTCATCTCTTGCATTGTGGTGTCACACCGCTCCCGTTTGCTGAGGCCACCACAAAGTGCCAGGTGCTCATGGACCACCCAACACGGACAACCTTCCACGCGAGAACTTCCCACAGGATGCAACCCTTCCAAGCTCTCCCACCTGTCTGAGTTTATTGCCAGAGCAGAGCTCCCAGATGAGAGAATATTGTGTGGGGAAAGTGGAAGGCTCAGATGGAAAGGACAATTAAACCCAGGATTTCCAAAGCCTGCTCGGGGGGAACGGCTGGTCCCCAAAACCCCGAGCTCTGACTGAAGTGCACCCTGGCACAGAAAGGGAAGGTGAAATCAGCTGCCAGTTAAAGATCCCATCATTCAGAACATTATTCAAATTCATGCAGAAAAAGAGCAGTAAGTGTTCTCTGTCTTTTTGAAGCCTATTTAGTCATTCCCCCTCCCCCATTTTTACAGTGGTGGATGGAAGGAGAGGAACATGACATCTGCTCACACCTGCCAACTATTTTTCTTCTGAATTCAAATTCTTGTTTTTTCAACATGAGAAAACCCCTCCCACCATCAACCACTCATTAAAGGAGGGGAAGAGGCACCGTTGTCTTCCCATCTTTCTTAAACAATACATTGTTCAATCTGACAGTGATAACAAACCAAAATAAGCTGCTGACTCATTTTCAGAAGGTGTCAAGCCACAATTTCACTTTGGACAAGTGTTATCCACAGAAGAGCTCTGGCAACCTGGAGGTTATGAGTATTTTATTTTTGGTTAGTTCTCTTGGCTGTCCAAACCATTCAACTCCTCTGCAACGTGTCAATCCATCAAACAATTTGTACCATATCCCACCATAACGATTTTCACTCCCTCTCTCTTTACACCAAGTATTAGGCAGGGAGTTTTCCTTAAATGAAGCTAAAAAATTATCAGGAACTGAAGAATTAATGGAAACAGTGGCCAGGAAAAAGCAATTTTTATACTACACATAAATAAACTTTCTCAGTCAACACCTCCTTGATATCACCACCACCCAATTTTATTGAGGGAGTTGGAGGCCACTTGCCTTCAGTTTTTTATGTTCTACTTTATATTCTTCCTCGAGTTCACCTGCAACAGTAAAGCTCATTTTTCCTGATTATGCCCTTCTGTCTGTGTGGTGCTCTTGGAGAATATAAAACCCTTGCAATTTTTAGTGAATTCTGAAAAAGCAGTACCTTTAAACCTGGTAATTTAATTCAAGGGAGATTTTTTTAAACCCTATTTGTTACTCACAGCTCTTCAGCCAAATATATTAATTCAAGGATTTCTGAGAAACAGTATATAATGACAAATCTATACTGCAATGGATAAATATATAGACTTGAAAATGTAAATTTTAAGAAGACATTTGAGAACACACATTTTCCCCCTTCCTTCTTTCTGCCATCATATGACACTGTGCCACTTATAGAAACACACTGATATAAACCTGATTTATACAATCAAACTTCCTTTATGAGCTTCAGGTTACAAGGGAAGTAAATAAGCCAAGTGGTGTGAAATTGCTGCTCTGTACAACATCGTAATAACACGAGAGAAACACTTGGAGTAAAAGTTTCCTATTTTAAAAAAAAAATTATATTTAAATTCTCAGATACTTTAAATTAAATTCTCAAAGCAAGAATCACCCAGTTAAGCTACTGAAATATTACTTGGAGGGCCTCATGAAACGAGTGAGAAGCGACAGATTTTGCAGGGAAAAAGGAAATCAATACAATTTACAAATACCAATTTGAGAATCTTAGCAAGACAACTTAAGTTTGTTCCTGGCAGAGTTGTGTCTGTTGTCTACAGTCACTGAAAAGTCTGGATACAGGACTCTGCATATCCAAACTAGTGGGAAAATTTCATCACCTGAGAAGGAATCACTGCCCAAACTGCCAGAGTGAAAATATCCAGCACCATCCCAGGTAACTTTTTGTGGTGCTCCCCCTTCACCTGCATCACACACAGAGGTTTTCCAGCAGAATGTTTAAATACTGAAAATTTCAACGTCTGACCTTTCTGTGAGGGTGTAGCTGGGCACACACGTAAGGATAAGACGATAACAAGGAATTGTTACAACAACATTTTATAAGGATAACAAGGTAACTGCTCTCCCTCACTCTCTGTGGGGTGTAAGTCTGGCTGGGCTGCACGGCCTGAAAAGCTTCCTAAATAAATGATCCAGTGTCCTCCCCACTGCCTGAGTAATTCCACAGGCAGGTATATCTATATTGTTAAATTTTCATTATTATTTCTGCAGGCATGGTATGTATGTGACATTGCACACACAACCAACATGACACGATGCCAAATCCTCATTTCCTGGCACAAAGTGTTTTTCACCTTTCTCCACAGGGATTTCACAGGCACGTTGGTCAGGAAAAATGGGAAAAAAAATTCCTTATTTGTCACCTTTGAGCTGGTGCTCACCCCAAGGCCCAGAAGTTTGCTAAAGCTGCTCAGCAATTTTTGCATAATGCTTCTCAGCACTTTTCCTGAAGTGGCTCCATCTCTAACATGGAGGACTGAGGAAATGCTGAAGCATCAATGCACCAGCAGCAGGAACACTGGGAATGCCTCTCCTGACAGCCACAGGACACACAGATCCTTCCCACAGAGCTCTCTGGGCTCACCTCAGGTGCAGGATGGTTTGAAAAGCACCCTCTTTTGTCTTTTTTTTTTTTTTAGGAGTTAAAGGGTCTCAAGGAGCAATTGTTATTTTAAAAGAGCACCACTGGCTGAACTGTTTTCCAAATCCCCTTTGCCAACTGCTTGGACCTGGCAGGGTTTGTGCAGCCCCTGGGAATGATAACTGGCTCAGCCCCTGGTTCCATTGTACTGAAGGAACGAGACACTCAGTGCTGACATCAGCACAGTCCAACCACTCACAGATTTTTGGAGACAGGATTTGATTTATAATGCACATGTATCAAGAACTACACAACACATTGGTCTCTGCTGCCATTTCTGCTGCTGTTTGTACCACAGGATCCACAGACAAGCACCAGGATTCCCCCAAGCTCTCCTACAACCAGCATTATTTGTACACATTCACCCCCCACACAAACGGGAGGAAGAGAATTCAGCAAACAAAACCTGATTATCTCGAGGTATGACAGGCACAAAGAAAAACTCTTTAATTTTTAAAGTAAATTAACCAAATTTAATAGACACCAGACTGCAAAAGATGCATCTTGCAGCTCCCCATTTAACAGATGCAACGTGAAGGTCAAAGCCATAGAACAGCATTCCCCTATCCAAGCATTAATCAGATTGTAACCATTTCCTTGGGACCGTGTCTTGTACATAATTCATACCCAACTGTTCTCAGGTTTGAAATCATCCACTGCCAATTTAAAAAATAAAACTCCAAGTGTGTAGGTAGCCACCTGAAAACAAGGAGGAAGCTCTCTGATAAAATAACTGCTGATCAGAGCAGCCAGAGCCCGTTGCCTTCGGAAATTGGAAGAGATGTCCGACTTCAAGGTTTGAGTTGCAAGAATTACTATAATCAAGCCTCACTGTCACAACAAAAACATAACCTTTGAGGTTGTTAGAGGATAAAATAACATTTCACTAACTTCTGCCTGCCTCTAGCTATGCTGGGGTAGAAAGAGGCTCCTGGTTTTTTGGTGTTATGTACAGTAAGTGGGTTCCTAGGGAAGGAAAAGAGAAATAAATGATGGAGTGAAGTCAATATTCCTGATCAATCAGCAGCTCTGAACAAGTCTCCTTTTGACATGCCCCCAGGCCCCAGCAATCCCTGACCATCAACAAGACACTTATCCAGGGCCTGGTAGAACTCTGAGAGAGCCAGTAGCTGCATTCAAAGGTGTCTCCAGGGCAAGGAATGAACTTCTGGAATGTACAGCTGAGGAGAGGGTGATCATTTATTTCTTTAATCTGATGTGCATAGGTGTACATCCACACAACTGTACATTCCCTTCTGAAGTGATCTTGGGGGGGGACAAAAGGATTACTGAGCATATTTAAACCCCTCAGGGGTAATAACCAAGATGTGTCACTGAGCAGCCACTGTTCACCCAAACTACAAATCGCCAAAAAAGCCAGAAACTCTCACAATACCAACCTCTCCAGGCAGAGTTTTGTACCACAAGAAGCCAGAATGAAGAGTTATGAACAGCTCTGGCAGATTTCTAACCAGTGCTCTTTCAAGGGCCACTTCCCCAGGAGCAGTCTGTCCGTAGGCACTAAGGGACAGGCTGCTCCCAGCCCCCTCTTCCTTCAGGACAATCCTTCACCTGTCCAGCAGAGAAGTTCTGAGCGAGGCAGCACCTCAACCTTCAGCAGCAAACAATTTCCAATCAATTTTGCAGGTAACAAGCCTCTGCTAAGAAGCCATTTATCATTCCCGTGGAAAATGTTACAAGCAATCACCGGGAGAACAAGGCAGTGTGAATTACCAGGAGGAATTGTCCACCAAGGAAAAAAATCCATTAGGCTGCGACAAAGGTCAGATAACATTGTTTGGGCCCAGCCATAATTCTCTCTTATACCAGATTCACATTAAGATTTTGTGTAACAGGAAAGAGAAAAAGTGCAGGTGTGGGCAGCCCTCAGCCTCCTCCCCTGCAGTCCAGCTGAGGAGCATCTGCATCAACTTCTGGTCAGAAGAGCCAAGCAAACTAGCAGATTACAATGTCTCTTTTTATTTAAAAGAAGACAAAAACATGCCTGAAAAAAACAGGATATCAGACCCAGACTTAGGTAACAGTCCCATGAGTGATGAGCATTATGGAGAAGACATGTGGAATGGCTCTGGGGAAGCACAGACATCCACAGGTGACCTGAACAAAGAAAATACCCAAAGACGTGGCTGGGAGAGTCTAATCCTCTCCTATCTCTCCCTTCTGCCCTCAGAGAGGTTAAGAGTTGGTAAATCCCTGGGATGATACCTGCTTATCTACCTGTGCACAAGGGTGATTCTGTGTGAGCACAAACACACGCTCATTGAACACTCCACTGCTGTTTTCAGGAGGTCCCTCTGTGCTAAATCACCAGCCAGATCCAAGAGAACGCACAGAAAGTTGCTCAAACAAATAATTTTAGTTATTCAGCTCAGGTAGTGCAGACCTGCATTTTCCAAATGGCTTAAATTTCCCTGGATGTCCCGCTCCGAACACGCCGTAACGCGCTGGCCTCAATTTAATCCCGCAAAATTCACACAGACACTTTCACACCAGTGTTGGTCTTGGCTCAGGGCAGGCCCAGGCTAAAACCAGCATTCAGCCTAAGTCACATCTCAGTCACACAAAGGATGTTCCCTGCAGGTCAAAACTGAGGTTATTTATAGGGCAAAATAAGGAAGCCTTAAAAGCACTAAAATACCAAGCAAAACACAGTGTGAGTGCCATTTAAAATGCAAAGTTTGTAGTTCCAGGACAGACGGGAATAAGAGCAACTTCCCAATCTTTTGAAGTCAATTACTCAAAGAAATAAACATCAATTGTTTTTTCACATCACCTTATTTTTGTATGAAAATTCCACACGTTATTAAATTGTTTCAAGTCAACTTCCTCAGTGGCACTTTAAACTCCTGTTTGTTCTCCAGCTTATCCACACACAACAGGCAGCTTTAACAACTTCTGGTTACCAGGCCACCAAACCTTGGGCTCGTTTTACACTTCAGTAATCTGAATACTGGACATTATTTGAAAGGAAATTGGAGGGATGTGTTCAGTTTCTTTTTTCCCCTGGAATTAGTTGAGCCTCACCTTTAGACTCCCACAATTTAAATATCAACTTCGTCACCTTGCTGATAAAGCAGCTGGGAACCGTCTGCGTTGGGGAACTGAGCTCAACAAGCAAACATTTCCAAAACAAGGTGCCAAATTTGAAGTACAACGTTATTGAGAAATACAAATATTGTCAGGCTTTCGGGAGGCTGGGTTGGAAAAGCAGGTTCAGAGCACTGGGAAAGGGGCAGAGAGAAATCATTAAAACATGAGGTTTAGAGATTTCTTTTTTGCACCAAAGCAGCTGGTGAGTTCCAGGTGCCTCCTTCTGAGGGCTTCCCACCCGTGGTTTGACTTCCAACCAAAGCAACTCCAAACAGCTCAAGAGTTGCCCGGATCTCTACAATTCTTATTGTATAACAAAAAAAAAAAGGGGCTTTACTATTTGAATTTGAAAAGTCTAATTGCCCAACAAAAGGGATCTTATCAAAACATGTTTAAGACATCACTTGTGAATCAGAGGCACAGCTTTCAGCACAGCTTTCTCGGGAAGAAGCTGCCAAAATCCATAGGCTTGTGGTTTGTTTGGTTTTTTTTTTTTTTCAAGGAAACAGGTGGGGAGCAAAAACTTGTTTCTTGAGAATTCAGCAGTGATCTAAACCCACAGGAGGTGTTTGGGCACTGCTGGAATAATTTGGAGAGGGTTTCTGGAAAATCCAGGAGTCCAAGGCCACCTAAACCCACAGGAGGTGTTTGAGCACTGCTGGAATAATCTGGGGAAGGGTTTTTTGAAAATCAGCAGTGAGCTAAATGCACAGGAGGTGTTTGGTCACTGCTGGAATAATTTGGGGAAGGTTTCTGGAAAATCCAGGAGTCCAAGGCCACCTAAACCCACAGGAGGTGGAATAATTTGGTGAGGTTTTCTTGAGAATCCAGCAGTGACCAAACACCTCCTGTGGGTTTAGGTCACTGCTGGAATCATTTAGGAAGCATTTCTTGAAATTCCAGCAGTCCAAGGCCACCTAAACCCAAAGGAGGTGTTTGGTCACTGTTGGAATAATTTGGGGAGCGTTTCTGGAAAATCCAGGAGTCCAAGGCCACCTAAACCCACAGGAGGTGTTTGGGCACTGCTGGAATAATTTGAGGAGGATTTCTGGAAAATCCAGNTTTCTGGAAAATCCAGGAGTCCAAGGCCACCTAAACCCACAGGAGGTGTTTGGGCACTGCTGGAATAATTTGAGGAGGATTTCTGGAAAATCCAGGAGTCCAAGGCCACCTAAACCCACAGGAGGTGGAATAATTTGGTGAGGGTTTCTTGAGAATCCAGCAGTGCCCTAAACCCACAGGAGGTGTTTGGGCACTGCTGGAATCATCTGGGGAGGGTTGCAGCAGTAAATCTATCTCCATAGACAACACTTCTCTGGTAGAGATGTTCTCAGGGCCTGCAGCCCCGAGCACCACGATCCTTTCAGTGACCCAAGGACTGACCAGAAGGTCCTTTTGCCGCCCAAATGAACGTCCTCCTACCTGAGAGGTCATGATGGATCAGGTCAGCGAAGTTGGGGTCGTCCCCCCACCAGAAGATCCAGAGCTCCCTGCGCCCCGGCCGCTGGTCCCGGCGCCACACGCTGAGCACGTCGGCCTTGAGGCAGCGGCTGAAGCTGCTCAGGATGGGATCCTCTTCCGTGACCGGGAAGAGAATGGGGGCAGACGTTGGGCCCTGCCACACGTAGCGCTTCCATTTAATCCCAGTGAGATCAGCCTGAGGGAAGGGAAGGAAAACAACATCACACATGGAGGCAGGTACCCCCCACACAAACAGCCAGGTGAAGGGAGAAGGGAAGGATTGGTGGCACAAAATGTAACGGAAATGGCGGTGGTGAGTTTTGCGAAGGGGAAATAAGCAGGAATCCTGGTCTAAAATCTCTTTGAATAACTGCAGTAAAGCAAGAGCTGCTCGTTTTCACCACACAGAGAAAAGGCAGATTTGATTTAAAGTCAATGAGGGAAAGACGAGTGAATAATGTGAATTATTCACAGACTGCAACTGCCCAAGCTCCCACACACTTGCCTTAGCAAAGGACATCTTTCTTTCCACTTGCTTATGCACACACCACCTTTTCAATCCAAGATTACCCCGTGGAAATAGGTAATACAGTAAATCTAACCCAAGCACACATTCTTCCAGCCATCTACTCCTCTGGAAAATTTCACAAGTTTCTCCATTCTCTGCATCTCCCCCAGGAAGCCTCTCGAGTTCCCTGATTTCACCAGGAGCTATCATGCTTCTCATTCCTCACACCACATCCCGAGAACTTCGATCCCAATTTTATCATTAAATTACACGTTAGACCTGAGTCCACATCGATTTTGAGCCACTGGACCCCCTTCTAGGCAAAAATTAAATTTGCTTTATATAGGGAAAGAGGCCCTACCCTGTCTAGCGGGAAACACAATTCCTGGATTATCTACATGGCAGCCCCAAGTTTTAGTGCTAAGTTTTTTCACCCAGTCACCTTAGGGCAGGTAGGGGAGGCACTGCCCCGGGTTCTCCTCCAGGAGGGACAACAAGGCAGGCTGGCATTTGCTAAGAAGTTACTATTTTTTGCCTCCCCGGCATGACAACACACAAAAGATTACTGCAACATTTAAATGTAACATGGCAGCCTCCCCACCTTCAGCAGGAGAGCAATTTGGATGAAAGGTTGCCTGCAACAGTTGATACTTTAGAAACACTTACAGATTTAAAAATACACTGTTAATATGGGGCTGCGGGCCTGGTGCAGGCTGCAGGCACGTTCAGATCCCCCTCCATCCGAAAATATTAGTGCCACAGCTCGGCACAGGATTGTTGTAACAATCTCTGGAATCATAAATATCAGGCAGTCAGCTAAGATCAGCTCATTTGCATTAAAAAGCTGATGAAACAGCTCAGCACAGCCACCAAAAATTGCATCACAGGCCAGTTATATCGAATTCACTTTGGGAGCCACCAAAATTCAACAATGTGAGCGACTTGATACTTGGGCTAAAAAGGGCTACAAAATGGTGCACATCAAAACACAGAGACAGCACCGATCCCAGGGAGGGCATCACCAAAACCAGCCCTCCAGGATAAAAACAAGCAGCGAAAGGGATCCGTCTGAAAGCGAGGAAGAAGGGAGGTTTCGGCTCGGCTTTTGGGATGTCACGAGCGGGGGAGAGGAAAGCGAAAGTTCCCCGAGATGTGGGGCTGGAAGGAGCAGGGGCAGGAGAGGGGAAGGCAGGGGATCAGAGGCGGGCAACGGGGAGAAAGGAGGAAAAGTTGGGAGGCACGGAAAGGGAAGGAAAAGGCGAGTTGCAGGGAGGATACTATCCAGGAAGAAAGCGGAGGGAGGGGCGAGGCGAGACAGACAGCGATGGAGGGGGAACCAGAGGGGCATGGGAGAGTTGGCTGCTCCAGGCAGGGCCTACTCCGAGGGCTCATCCAACAGAAGCTCTGCTAAAAATGGCTGCTTTGCTTCCACTGCCCCTTCCCCCTCCCCCAGAGCTCGGCTCCCTTCCCTCCGTGTCCCCGGGCGGCTGCGAGCCCGGGGCCGCCACTCACCAGGCAGAAGAGGTTGGAATGGCAATCCTCCAGGCTGGCCCCGTTCGGCACGAAGCAGGAACTCATCCTCACAGCCACAACCCACACGCCATTATCCCACAGCCTCCGACAAGAAAGAAAGAGACAGCCAGGGAGAGAGAGAGAGAGAGAGAGAGGGAGAGAGGGAGAGACAGACAGCGAGAGGGAAAGGGGGAGGGGGGCTCCGCACACGCACAAATAATAATACAATTAAATAAGGGATTTACACGCGCGCGCACGCGAAATAGTGGCAGGGGGAATAGGACGAGAGAGGGGGGTAAAAAAAAATATATTAAAAAAAATTATTAAAAAAAAAAATTTTTTTTTTAAAGGAAGTCAGAACGTTTTCTCGTCTTCTGGAGCTCCACCGGGGGGGTAAAGCCACGGTGGAAGGGGAGAACAGAAAGAGGGAGGTGGTAAGTAATCCAACGACGGGAGATTAAGATCAAAATCCTCCCCGTTCCTCTTGTCTTCTCGTTCGCATAAGGAGGGGAGGGAGAGGAGGTGAGGTGAAGGGGTAATTGATCCAACAAGAGAATAAAAATGGGGTAATTAATCCGGGGGGGCTAGGGCTAAAAATCAGTTGACATCCCTCCTTCCTCTCTTCTCAGATGCCAAGCAAGAGAAGTAGGAAAACATAAATAATCCAGCGGGGGCAATCAATCCAGAACCCCCCCTTCTCTTCCTCCTGTTCCTTTAGTCATCAGATGAGAAAGGGGCAAATTGTGGAATGACTGGGAAGGATTGGCCGTGGGAGAGAGAAAAATCCAGGCTCGTCTCTTCGGAGTCCGAGGGCAACAGGGTGTGGGGGGGTCAGATTCTTCTCCCCTGCTCCAAAAATATTCCAAATAAATTAAAATTTAAAAGCATAAAAACAAACTTCAGGGGCCAGAAGCAAGGCCAGTCTGAAGAATTCGTAAAGGCAGAGAGAAAAATTTCCTGGGGTGTACCCCAAAAAAACATCTGCGGGGGCAGGGGAGGGGGGAAGGTATTCCTTGAGAGAGAAAGGCCGCAAAAGTCTCCTCAGCAGCCCAGCAGGGGATTAAATTCCCGTGTGGAAAACACCCCCCCTCCCCAAAACGAAATAGTCTTCACAGCGAGGGCGAAACCAAAATACCCTCCGGCGGGTTAAAAAAAAAAAAAAAAATCCTTCCGTGGGGAAAGGAGGGAGGGGGAGAAGGGTGGAAGGAGGAAATTGCGGGTGACCCTCGAAGTCTCTCCGGGGAAGGATGGAGGAGTCTCCGGGAGGCCGATCCCCGTCGGGGGAGGAGGACGGGGCGAATCGCAGAGTGTCTTCGGGGGGGCTGGTCCCCCCCAGCTGTCCGCGGGGGCCGGGGGACCCCCAAAAGTCTCTGGAGGGAGCGCGGACCCCGCCGAGTCACCGCGGGCAGCGGGGAGGCGACCCCCGCAAGAGCCCGGGGGGCGGCGGGGCGGGGAGGGACCAGCCCCGCGGCGAGG